GTAGTACGTAGAAAGAACGTAACTAACTAACTACTACCTACTAACCTACCTTACCTACTACGTCGCATCGACACCACGAGTAACGTACTCTCTCTCTCTCTCTCTCTCTCTCTCAAGCTGGTATTCTCTCTCTCTCTCTCTCTCTCTCTCAAGCTGGTATTGGGCTCTCATATCTTTTCTCAAGCTGGCAAGTTGTCTAGTGTTCATACACTACATATAGATTCTAGAAAAGGTACAGTCTATGATACTACAATATATACAGCAGTAGTGTATGTTGTATGATACACCAGAGCCGTTGATGTCCATGTCGTGCTTGGATGGTATATTTTCCCTATAACAATTTATTTATTTATTTTTAAAGTAATTGCCCTCAAAAGGAAAAAGTTTATATAAAAGTGAGACTTTAAACAATCAAATTAGGGCGTGCCTCAATTTTTTTAAAAAAAGTAGTGTTTTTGATGATCAAATATCCTCAAATCAATCACCTCAACCTCAAGATGTAAACAAGAGAAAAATGGACTTCAAGTTTTGAAAATAGTATATATTGTAATGCATTTTTTAAACCGTCAATTTTAAAGATTTTTAAGTGTTCATAGATTTACTTGATATATTATTCTTAAAATTTTACACTTAGAGATAAAAATAAATTTAAGTCCGTTACATGGATATTTAATATTGAAATAACATTTGATACTTTTTTAAGGTGCCCCTTACTCCCATTGTTTAGAGGCTCAACATTATACAAACTACACCTTAAATAAGGGACAGTTTTTATGACACCATGTAGAAATAAGTCACCTCTTAAAATCTACTATTGAATGGATTTGTAGACTTAGTTTTTAAGGATATGTAATCTCTAACGTGCAATCTATTTTTAAGGACATGTAATCTCTAATTTTCAAAAAAAAAAAATTTGAAAATTAAAAATAATAATTCTATTAAAAAAACATTTGAACTATTTGTTTCAATTGTTTTTGACTTGACCGCCTATTTGCATCCATTTTAAAGATGGATGCTTTATACCTTAAGGACGGCGAATGAAGGAATGCAGTCCCCGCCTCGTAAAACAATTTTTCTTAAATAAATGCCTTGAGGTCTATTTAAATAGTCCTGAGATCCTGCACATTTAATATGTTCCGTATGGTACCACTTTTGTGTGGTCCTTTTGACGCTGAAGTAAGGCTTGGTGAGAGGTTTGCCGAGATTTCAAAATAGCCCCAAAATTTTTTGAAGCCGAAACTACCCTCAAAATTTGACCACTCTTTCGGTTTTTTATTTTCCCACCATTTCATAAATTAGGCACTTTGAGTAGGCCATGCATTTTTAATTAAAGAGGAACACCTCAAAATCCCAATGTCATTGAAGAGAGACGGACTAATTAATATATCCTGCTGCTTTGTTAGAAGTTTACAACCGGTGCTTCAAAAATCGGACGGACCGGATGAATTGGCCGATCCTAGCATTCTAGATTGACAAACCGGAGTTACTGGACTAATTATCTTGTGTGAGAATCAGTTTTTAAAAAATTATACAATAAAATTTTATTTTAAAATAAAAAATAAAACGGATAGGACCTGGGAGATTGATAAGCTGGTTACTTAATAAATTTGCTTGTTTCTGTTATAGAACTGGGTGAGTCTATGAGAAATAGAATAATTCCTGGTTATGACTAGAACCGGGTCGGCCACCATGATTATGAGTCTAGATCAACCATTCTTATCTAGATTGACGAAATTTAAAGCTTTAGTTAGAGCAAATATGACCATTCTTCCACCTAAATAAACACTTTTAGTGCACTTTGATGTAAATGCACGGTGCTGATATTCCAGACGTGGCCTGCCTCGTCAAATGGCTCAAATCTAACCGCTCGATCCACTCCATATCTTACCAGTTCAAGGCATACTATGGTTTGAGGCTTGACTTGATGGATCCACTTGGCTTTGAGCAGGACTGTAGTTACTTGAGAGTAATTAATCAAAAGAAGCTAATAATAATAACAATAATAATAATAATAATAATAATACTAGTGGTATTTTTTTCATATCCGCAAGAATGGTATGTCGGGATTTACCTGGGCTAGGGGATTTACCCCCTAGTTGAGGCGAGTCACTCAGTTGAGTCTAGGCTTTTCAGCTTTAAAAAATAAAAATAAAAAAAGGAAAATTTTGAAAAATTAAAACATATAGTTAAAAGTTAATTGAAATCTAAAACAACTTTAGAAAGTTCAAACACGATTAACAAATTAGAGAAAAATAGATGTAAAAAAAGAAGAAAAGGATCTAAAGCTGGGGACATTTTAAAAAACAAAAGGAAAAAAAAAAAAGAGTTTAGCAAAGAAACACTCACCAATCTTTGCAAATACATCCAAATCATATAAACAAGATTATGAAACAATCCAATATTTTATTTTATTTTAGAATTTTTAATTTTTTTTATATTCCCAAGTTGTGCACCTTGCTGGGGGGAACTCAGCCTCGCCCGAGTGCGAGTGGACTCAGGCGACTCGTGGCAACTGCACAAGAACATAGCATCTATTGGGAACCTTAGCTCACCTTTGATTCTTTGCTTTAACCTTATCATCTACGAGCACACAAATGTATGTAAAAACATATAAACTCCATGTTTTCTTTACAAGAAATTCTGAATTCTCATGTGTCCTTTATTATTTCTCCCTGTTTAATTTCCATTTTTCTTTTCCTAATATCCATGGAACTCTGAAACTTAATATCCAATACTCTTCATGTGCAGGTGGTTCCTCAGGGAGTAGCAGGCACCACAGTGGATCTCCCCCATCTCACGGAGGTGATGGCAGCTATGGGACTCCGTCGCATGGCAGCAGTGGAAGTTATGGTACACCTTCCCACGGGAGTGGTGGTGGAGGCTACGGTAGCCCGTCTCAAGGTGGGGGGACGGGATCACCCCCTCAAGGAGATGGTGGTTATGGTGGGGGGTCCGGATCACCCCCAAGAGGAGGTGGTGGTTACTATCACTCATCTCCTACCACTCCTGTGTACTCATCTCCTACCACTCCTGTGTATGATCCTCCCACTCCAGATACACCGGTGTCCTACACTCCCACTGTTCCTGATGTCTCAACTCCTGGAACTCCTTATATTCCTGATCCTAATACTAGATTCCCCTTCATTGGGGGTACATGCGAGTAAGACTCTGAAAAACCCTCTTGTAGTTTGTTTTTTCTATTTTGTTTTTCTTTTTGTTCTTTTGGTTTTTTCTAGTAGAATATGCATTTACTCTAACCCCGTCAACCCATAGATTAATCTCACTGAAGAAGACAATTCTAATTGTACCCACAGTGCACTTAAAAAAATAATGTCTCAAGATTGAGTAGAAACCATTCAATTTTTAGATTTTTAGATGATGAAATTTAAGTATTAAAAAATTCAAATTTTGAATTTTTTTTTTTTAGAATAATCATCTAGTAACTTTTAAGTGGTTCCTAAATTTCAAATTGAAAATATCATCCCAAGCAAGTCTTCTAACTAAGTCTTCTAACCATGGGAGTAGAAATAAACTATTCTTCGAGAGAACATAGTATACGTGCCCAGTTAATTTTAAGGCATTATTATCCTTGGCAAAAGTGTGTCACTTTTGAGCATGAGTTTTTTAATTTAAATAAGATAAAAATACAAAGGAATGGGAGGAATTTTATTCAGGAAAAGTAGTTTGTGCACTAGGGGCGTGCTTCTAACATCCATCTTTAAGATGGATGTTTTTTTTTTCAAGTTACCATTTATCATTGTTTAGATTATATGGTCCTCAAATTTTTGAATCTAAAATTTATCTCTAAAATAGATTTTAGAGAGAGGACTCATTTGGATAGGTGAGTCTGACTCATAGAAACCTCGCCCTTTTATTTAACATGCTCATTTTGGCCCGCATATACTTCTGAGCTCTATGATCCTAGTCCAAAATCCTTGGACTTTTAGTCGAGCAATTCCTTTTGGAGTACATTAATTTCTTCCTTAAATCCATGATAAATTCATCAAAGACATGTAGTTTGGTAATTGAACTCTGCTCAAGAAGAAATCTACGACAAATTTGAAAGACTGGTAATTTCCATCGACCCATCAACTAATGATATCTTCCTTCTATATTCTAAAACCATTCAACCAAGATCAAACCAAAGATTAAGGGCACTTTTATCATGTTCTCTACTGCACCATCCTTAATTCAATATTCCCTCAAACCAGAGTCATAATTTATTTATACTATTCGAGTTATTAACAGCTAATTAATATATTTATGCAGCTTTTGGAGGACTCACCCTGCAGCAGTGTGGGGCATGTTTGGCTACTTCGTGACCGTCGCCGGTGCATTTGGTTGTATCGGCATTCCAGGTGGTTTTGGGCAAGGCTTGAACCTCCATCAGGCATTGAACAACAATCGCAAGGACGGGTTTGGATCACTCTATAGGGAGGGAACGGCTTCGCTCCTGAACTCAATGGTAAACAAGAACTTCGCTTTCACGCCGGACCAGGTCAAGTCGAGCTTCAACACTGCTTTGGCATCCGATAAGATAGCGGCAGCTCAAGCCGATGTGTTCAAGAAGGCCAATGAGGGCCTGCTCAAGCCAAGGGCTTAGTCATGATCGCTATCTCACTATCTCTCTCTCTCTCTCTCTCTCTCTCTATTCTTTCTCCTTAGTTATGGGTGTTTCTTTTTGTGGAAATCTTTAATTGTGGTTTTCAACAACCTTGGTTTCGTTGTGGTTCTTGCTGTTTGTTGATTTTAGGTTGTGTTCAGGTGGCATTTGTGAGATGTTATCCTATATACACTTTGTCATCAGAATTCTTTTCTTGGTTTGTTTTAGTTAGATGCCTTTTGTGAGTTGTTCTTCCATAGAATTTAGTTATCATAATTATATCCTCTTTTATTGTGGGATGAGCTTTTCTGCTTCATCAGGTTCGAACAATCTCTCCCTCTCTCTCTTTTCTCTAATGTAATCATTTTTCGGATCTCTCTCTGTTTTCTCTAATGTTTCTTGTCATTAAGTTATAACACGATTTGTGGAAAAAAGCAGGAACAAAGAATGGAGCACCCTTCTACCAACCATTCTTTTGTTAGTCAGCTTCGTTTGTAGGAGGCCCAATACATGGACCTTTCACCAGCAAAACAGATCTTTAATTGTTTGACGTGGTTTATTAAAACCTGATGATTTCCGATATGGATCGCCAATTTGGAAGGGAATCAATCGGGACACAATTGATTTTGGGATCGTATGAGTTCTTGTTCTCCTAAAAATCCTGTTTATGCATTTTATTTTGTTTTTTTAAAACTTATCCAATGTTTTCTGAGGTACTCTTTAAATATCAACCCCATAGATCTCTATTTTAATTTTAATTTTATTTTATTTAATATTTTAATATTTCATATCAATCCAGATCGTCGATCTAACAATCCGATATGGATCTATAGGTGAATGATCCACCCCATCGGTATGGGTTTTGACACACTCGTTTGACGTAATAGGTAAAGACTTGAGATAATCGTTTTTCAGTATAGGGATATTAAAAAATGGACATACTTGGAAATAGAGAGAACCAGGAACCAGAAGAAATATGATAGATAGAGTTCCACTTTCAAAAGATTCTTGGCAATAACTTTTTTTTTTGTCCCAACATAATTTCCAAATGGGTTCGGGCCATATAAGTATATATCAGTGGAGTGATTTAAAAATCGTCCATCCTAATAGGAACCGAGCCGTAACCTGGTCGATTCATCCAGAACCAGGAATCGGGTCAGTTTAGAGTGATTCCCTAGCCTCTTTCCAGATACATTCTATATGTGAAATACGAACCAATACAAAAAAAGAAAAAAGAAAAAAAAAGACCACCCCTCTTTCTTGAAGATCATGATCTCCATGAGGTCCTTATTCTTCCTCTTGGAGGTGTTACCTCTGTATACAGAAGCCGACAGATGTTGTTAACTCATAATAGGGTGACCCCAAAACGGATAAGCATTTTTGTTTTTACTTTTATTTTTATATTTATTTTGTAGAATGGGGGTGTCATTGAATCGGTTGAATTTGATCATATCGTTATCTATCTTGTTGGGCAAAGACTTAACTAGAGATGATGAATAAATAAATAAATAAAATTGATAAATAACTTATTCAGATCTGTCTTTAAATCACATTAGGGACTTAAGGTTTTATACCAAAACCTATAGACCAAGTCATCTGGTGATAAGCTACCTTGAGAGTCCTCTTGGTGAATCTCCTTCACCTTCCGTCTCTAGTTTTCTATCATTTTCTCTATGTTTTCTAGAGGGGTTAACATCCTTTTATATAAACACATTTATTTTGTAACTCTCACATATATGGTCTATAGGAGTTGAGATTCAAATGTAACTCCTATCTTATTTTTCTTAAGTGCAGCTAATTAAGATTAACAAGTTGTCACCAAACTGTTAATCCTATATAATGAGCTGAACCTGTCATTAGTTCACTAATGACTCACATAATAGGATGTCATCCAAGCATTCCCACAATTTGGTAAAATATATTTAGAAATTAAATAAACTTTATATATCTATAATATAAAAAACAAATTCTTACAATGAATCCAAACACACTACTGGGTTTTCACTCGAGTGATACTGGATTTTTCCCTCTAGTGATACATCCCATTAAAGCCAAAAAATGGATCCATGTATATGGCATTGTCTCATGTTAACTACATGGGATTGATTTCACATAAACTTCAATATGGCTTTTGTACCATTATTGAAAAAATGAATTTTCGGGTAAAAAATGACCAGATAGGCCACATTTTCAACATTTATGAACCACGGTATTTTTTTTCTTGGCAGCCATTGCAAAATATTTGCAACAGTAAATCATAACATCTTTCTACACCCACAATTGGAGCATTGAAGAGTTGAGAGAAACTCATACAGACCTCTGCCAGATTATATGAGGAAATGTTAAACATAATTTACAGCTGATAGATATTTGAGTGAGTACACAGCTTTGAAAGCATTCAAGGCAAAACTCACAACTGGTATGAGGGTAGATATACAGATAAGTTATGAACCACGAAGTAGAAAAAGAAAGGGGAGAAAGCAACAACTCATAACGTAATAAATATCAGGACAGGTGACTTTTTTTTTGTTTGAAAAATAAGGACGACAACATTTGGAGCACCAAAATGCGGTTGCCCTCCTATGATGGTTTTGGATAGGTGTCCTCCTGAAAACTAGTGCCCTTTAAATGGGAGTATTGGATTTCCAAGCTTCACTACCAAAACCTAAACTAATTAAAAAAAAAAAAAAGGCACAAAATGAAACTCAATAAGGCCGCACCAAAACAAAATACAAGAGATAGTATTTTCCCCTATCTTTTTTTTTTTGGTTTTTATTGTGACTATCCTTTAACTCTACCATGGCAGGTCCCAAACGGTCATGCCGGTCCCAAGCCCGAAAAAGATGAGGATTTTGTTAAGTAGGTAGCAAGCATGAAAACTTTACCACATCTTTTCATGGATTTTGAACTTGTGTCATATGCTCAAGCTAGGGCATTCGCTATAAGCAACCCGTTGCATCGACACCTAAATGTAGTGAGAAATGAGCAAAGGTTAGCTCGGGTGTTCCCTAGAAGCAACGTGTTGCAAGGACGTTCTGTTGCGATGATAAGTAAGCAAGGGTTTATGCGCTATTTTGGATGAGCAGGGTAAAAAAGCTAATCCAAGATAATAGGATTCGTCTAGCCATTTGGAATATATGAACATTAACAAGTAAGAGTATGGAACTGGTAGGTACAACGAGACGAATGATAGTTAATATAACTTGCCTATGAAAAGGGATAAAAGCTAAGGAAATTTACGGATATAAATTTTGGTATATAAGAAAAGACACTATAGAAATAGTGTAAGCATAATAGTAGACAAAGATTTAAAGGATAAATTAGTTGAAGTCAAGAGAGTACGTGATAGGCTCCTATTAATTAAACTTCTATTAAGAGAGGAGATAATTAATGTAATGAGTGTTTATGTGTACTACATGATAGAACTACGAGACAATTTTGGGAGGACATGATTAGACTAGTCCAAGGAATACCAAATGGAGAGAGGACTATTTTAGGAGGGTACTTAAATGGTCATGCAAAAAAAGATAATAAAGGATATGAAAGGGTACATGGAGAATATTGTTTTGGGAAAACAAATGAGGTGTATGATGTTATTCTGGATTTTACTATTGTTTACAACCGAGCAATAGAAGACAACCAACTTTAAAAAGTGAGATGAACATTTAAGGACTTATAAAAGTTGATCCTATAAAAGTCAGATAGATTTCTTTCTAGTTAAGAAGACAAATTGACCATCATGTAAAGACGGTAAAATTCTCCCAAGAAAGAGTTTGACAACAAAACATAAGTTCATGGTTATGGATATCTACATAAAGAGATGGAAGATAAGTAAAATCAAAAGGCATCTAAGAACTAAGTGGTGTGGAATTTAAAAAAGAAAAAAATAGACTTATTCAAGAATAAATAAATAAAAGAAGAAAAATATAATTCTAAAAATAATGTTAATTTTATGTGGATTGAGATGGTTGATTATATTAGGAAAGTGGCAAAAATCGATTTAGGAGATATAGAGGAAGAATAAATTATGATAAGGAAACTTAGTGGTGGAGTGATGAGATTCAAAAAGCCATTAAATAAAAACGATATTGTTGTAAAGTTTTGACAATGTATTTACATAATAATAAAAAATAAATTTGGCAATGTATTATAAAGGAAAAAGTTTATATAAATGCAAGGTTCTAAACAATCAAATTAGAGCGCACCTCAAAAATTTCACTAGAAGTTGTTTTGATGCCCAAACATCTTCAAATTGATCATCTCGACATTAAAATGCATAGACATGAAAAAAAAATGGATTTCAAGTTTTGGAAATAGTACATCTTGTGATACATTTTTAGACCGTCAAATTCAAGATTTTCAAGTTTACATAAATGTGCTCGATCTACACTATTTTTTAAGCTTTAAATTTTATAATTAGAGATGAAAATATATTTTAAGGCTATCATAAAGATTTCCAGTATTGAAACCACATTTCTCGATACTATTTGAAGGTGCACTTTACTTTGATTGTTTAGAGCCTCGGCTCTCTATAAACCGCACCCTATTATAAATGATCAAAACTTAGAAGAATAAAACTGCTAAAAAAACACTAAGGGCCTTTTTGGGCACATGCATTTCAGAGCATGGATTTTTAATATCTTGGATATTACTAAAATCCATCATTTGGTTTGCTGGCTAGGATATTAAAATTCCATGGAAATTAAATCTTGAAAAAGGACCCGATTTCTATGCGGCAAAGCCTCCATATATAGAAATGCAGACCTCTTAATAAATCTATTTTTGAGATGGATTTTAAAACGTAAATTTTAAGGACATATAATCTCTAACATGGAGATCATGAATATGAAAATATAAATAAATTTTAAAAAATAGAAATAATAATTTTAGTTAGAAAACATTTGGATCGTTAGTTTCCATTGTCTTTAGATAGGACACAAACATGCAACCATCTTTAAGATGGATGCTTTACACTTTCTAGACTGCACATGTAGAAATGCGATCAAGCCCGCATGAAACAATTTTTCCTTGAAAAATCGCTTAATTTTTCCACGATTTCATTTATACATCAAAACCTGTTTTTTCGAATTTCCAAAGCCTGTGGATTTCACTTGTCAACTCATCAACGCAAAACTTAAGGCACATTTGGTAGGAATGAAAATTTTAGAGAGATAAAATACCTAAATTTTTTTAAAGAGAAACTATATCAAAATTTCTAGAGAGAGAAGCAACCTCAATTTTTAAGTTTAAGAGAATGAGTATATTAAATTTTAAAGAGAGAAATTATATCAAATTTTAGAGAGAAAAAGTACATGAAATTTTGTTAAAAGAGAAACTATCTCAAATTTTAAGTTTTAGAGAGTATATTAAAAGTTTAAAGAGAAAAACTATATCAAATTTTAGATAGAGAAAGTATATGAAACCTTGTAGAGAGAGATACATTCTGAAATTTAAAGTTTTAGGGATAGCATCGAAGGGAAAGTTATATAGGACAACTATAAGACTAGACATATGTTTTATGGGACGAAATATTGGGCATTCAACTATTGGATGAGTGTAGCTTGGATAAGGATATTAAAAGGGCACGACAATAAATGATAGAATTCGAAATGAATACATCCGTAGGAACTTAAGAGCGGCTTCAATAGGCAATAAGATGAGATAAAGTAGATCTAGGCTAACTGGCTATGTGCAGTGCAAACTTAATACAACATTAGGATGGGCGATTTAATTCAAGTGGAAGGTTCTAAAAGGGTAAAGAGAAGACCCAAAAGATATAGATGGAAGCAGTGAGAAGAGATATGGTGACTTATGGATTAAGTGATGGTATGAGCCTTGATAGAATAGAGTGATGGGACAAGATTCATATAGTTGACCCCAAATAGTTGGGATAAGGTGCGGATGATGATGATCGTAATTATACATTATTATACTAAATAGCAAATTTGATGGACACTGGTTTCAATTTATTTATATTATTATATAAACAAATCAATATATAAGACTCTTGGTTGGTAATTAGAAGTCGGTGATATGCATGTATTCCCTGTGCACACCCTCCTAAGCAGGCACATAGTACTTGCCAATACGTTTCCCTGAATGAGTGTCCAGCTTCAACAGCTAAGTCCTTTAGATGATCCCAAATCTCCTCCAAGATGCTTCACAGTTCCAAGTGGGTAAGATTGTTGTTCTGTGCAACAATAGACAACGGCCTGAGAGTAACCTTCGACTAGGACTCGAGGTTACCTGTTGTAAATTAAAATGAGGCCTCATAATAGAGACCGTGCCTCTGCTTCGTATGATCATGCAAAAGCCAATAGGGCCAGAGTAGGTAGAAAAAATCCTAGTTGTGTCATCTCCAAGTGATCCCCCAATGCTGCCAAATCAGGCTCTCTTAAAACTACCATCAAAATTAAGCTTGATCATACCTGGCTGGGGACCATCCAGAAAATATACAAAAAATTCTTTTCTAAGAGGTTTACAGTGCAAAATACAAAAAGTTCTATCCTTTCACCTAGGTGATGATTTTGGCTTTGTTTAGGAGGGTGGCTAATTTCCGACTGTCCGATCAATATATTCTAACAGGATAAGCCACAAAGTGACAGGATTGAGGTTCTCTAGAAGTTTCAGCCATGCTTCGAAAGGGGAGGGGAATATCATTGTCCAAGCATAGTGTTGACTGAGACTGGCGAGCCCATTGCAAATCAAAGACTCACAACAGGAAAGATAAAAAAGCAGCATCAAATAGGCAATGTAAAAAGAGATGGCTTACCAACTCACCATCTTATGACATATAATATAAACAATTATGATACTAGCTCTTCTGTGCTACAGGCCATCAATGGTGAGAACTTTGTGAAGGAATGCCAATCAGGGACAACTTGAATTTTGTGAGTGCCATGGAACTTCTACAAAGCAGGACTACCAGAATAGGGAAGCCACATCCTGTAAGCACATGATAAAAAAAACTTACCGTCAACTCACAATAAGAGGCAGGCTTCCAGGTAGGCATGTCCATATTTACTAGGATCTCCCTACCTAGATGACGATCCCACTTTGGAATCTCGCTCCGGCATTTGAGGAAACGGATCTTCAAAGGATTTCCGGATCTCAACCCCACCTGCTAGGGATCTTGATCCCCACCATTAAGGATATCGGTCTCTACCTTAAAGACCAAGATAACAACAACATGATGATTTCCACGCTAGCTAGCAATATAACTATACTCTTAATATAGTTGAATTGCTTGCTAGGTATAAATAAAGAAATCCCTATTTTAAAGAGTAAGTATAGTCATAGACTATATACTCTTTTAGGTTAGGAGCAAGAACCCAGGTTTGGATCGAGATCCCAAAAGGTCGGGATCAAGATCCCCAAAAGATTAGGATAGAGATCCCTAACATTTAAAGAATATACATTGTACAAACAACACTCCCAACCATAGGGATCTTCTAGTCTTTCCTAATTTCCCCCCGCTCCAGATTCATCCCCAATCCCAAGAACTATGGCTAGGTTCCCAGCCAGGTCAAAAGTTCAATTCCGGCAGCTGGTGCTGGAGATCAGCGAATTCAGATATCTTTAGTCATTCAATTGGCATCAACAAAGCTTTATCTCCTACACTGGCTCAATGCATGAACCTGAGAGGGCCTAATTGACGATCGTTTGCACCCCCTGAGCTCCCACCCCACCTGTCTGAGGGCCAAGGGAACCGAATGGTCCCTTGAGAGGAGCTACCTCCTGGGGAATTTTAGTTGTTCCAGGGAGAAGAAACAAAAAAGCAAGAAAGGCCATGGGTTTGTAGGACACATAGGTAAAGAGGAACTCTGCCAAAAGTGCGGTTGGCCTCAACAGACCACCTAGATAGTGACCCATTCAGGAAGGCACAAATCTAAAAGAGTGGAAGGTAAAAGGTTCAAAAGAAGGAAGGAAGAATAGAGGTAATGGGGTTACCTAGAGTGGAAAATCCGTAGGTCGAACTGAATGGCTGGAATGCGACCTCGTAAAGGATAACCTGATTTTGGGGAAGCTTGCTTTTGGATCAGAAAGAAAGAGGGATTTGTTTTGGGAATTGAGATAGAGAGGATTGCATTCAAACTTCATGTTCTTAAGATTTATATACACGAAGAGAGAGGGGGAAAGAAGTATGGCATTTCTTAGTATATCTAAGGAAACATAAAAAGAAAAAAAAATGTATTGCAATAAAAAAGGAACACAAAGTATCACTACAAAAAAATTACTGCATTAGATGGGCTGTGGACTAGTATCATTACAATGGTCTTCTAGAAAACTAAGGAATAGGGAAGGTATAGTACTGTTCTCACATAATTTGTGGTCTCTCTCTCCTTATCAGTAACTATAAAATCCAATTGAGGTTTAGATCAGGGGAGCAAATAAGAATTGCCATTTGAGGAAAAGAAGTATAACTTTAAGAAGTGACTTGTTCAAAGAAAATAAACTCAAGGACAAACAGGAAGGTGTCATGCTAAATCAAATCCTTTTCTTTTTTTATTCAGGTGCTTAGACTGGGAATTGAACATAAGACCATGTCGCTACCACCTTTTGTCCTCCTAACTTTGAGACATTTTTTCGAGAAATAGTGCAAGTGTTAAGACAGATTAAAGGTTTAGGCGGAAAAAGCAAGTCAGACTTTGATGTCGGGAGTTGTGATAAATCTTTGCAACAAAATTTGTCGGACTTTCATAAATGTGCTGGATAAGCATCAAAATACAGAGTTTACATCAGGTAGCCGTGACTGAAGGATTTTGTGAATGTTTGGAATTTCTACATTCAAGCATTTGAAGTATGGGTTATTGAAACAGTTAACTCGTATCAAAAAAACAGAAGTATGGGTTATTGAAAAGACAATTATTTTCTGATTGTTTTCGAAGATAAATTTCAGCAATCAAGTTTCAAGAAATTGATATCTACAAGTATGAAGCTGCAAAATTTTCTGATATAGGATTAAAGCTTAGAAGTGAAATAGCTTTTTGGATTTGTTATCAGAGCTTAGGACAAAAAAGAGAGAGAGTTTTAATGCATCACCACAATCCAGTCAGGGATTTTCATGAGACTTGTCCCTTTGCAGAAACAGTGAGCACATAACACATTTAATATGCGATATTTATTTCACTTCTAATAAATGAAGTACTGTAATTATCATATTTTTTACCCACTAAATTACTCCATCCCTCCATCATTCCCCTCTAAACAGATCCAGTAAGAGCAAGGTGCAACATTTTGTATGCTACCAAAGAATGGTAAATCACATGTTATTGCTTTTGCAGATAAATCAAACCAAAGGATCCAATTCTGACATCGACTATGGGAAAAACTATTACAAAGAACTAGTTTAATAAATTAATCTCTCAAGATTTGAAGAAATTGGTCAGAACCTGAAACCAACTTAAAGCAGAAGCGATTTCAGTGTTCCAAATCATCAACACAAATACCACAGCACATCATGCACACTAAACCTTTATACATAAGATTTACTTATAATACAAAATCACCTAATAACTTCAAAAGTACCAGAAGTTACTCAAAAGTGAATCTTCATTAATGAACCAATGAAGAATTTGCAATTCTAGATGAGGCATGCATAAACTTATCAGATTATCCATAATTTACACAAGATTATCAATAATCTACAGAAAAGAAACGATGGGAAACTCAAAGTAACAAAATGCCCCTAGGCAATCACTCTGTAAATTTCCTTCTCTATAACCATTCAGAGAGAAACTTAAAATCGACTCAAGTGAGACTCAAACCAGTTGAGTATCTGCTCAGACTGCAAGCTAGTCATTTCATGGTACCCAAAAGCAAGATTAAGCTCCTCTTGGATATGGCTACTCCATTCATACTTATCAGACAATACATCTCTCTCCTTGAGTGATTCCTTCCAATCAATTTTACGCCCATCATTCCTCATATACCCATCGTCATTAACAATTCCTTTCTCTTTAAATATCTCAAATATTGCGATGGAGGTGGTCTGGTCCAAACCAGGAATTCTATCAGATAAGAGCCTTGGAGTCAATGGAAATTCCATGCATTTAAGTTCTCCAACATCTATACCCTTCGCCCTGAGAGCTTCCATATTCTCAGCTATTCGCCCCACTCTAGCACGATCCTTAGGCATGTGAACAAACAAAGTTGGAGGGTAATTTCTGGGAATCTCCATAGCCTCAAATACTCCTTCAGAGATCATAAGAACTACACTGCGAAATTTGACATCGGTGGCAAGGGCAGAAATGAAATATCCACCAGAAGAGGCCCCAAGAGCTGTAAGTGGAAGACCCTCAAGCTTATTCTTTTCAATCCACCATTTTAGTATTCCTTTAACTATCTTTCTGTCTCTCTTGAGATCCCAACACACATTAGTGCTTGATATGGTTAAGACTGCAAATTTACGAGCAAGGGCGTGAAGAACGAGGAGGCGCTCTTCAGGTAGTCCAACACAATTTGGGCAACCTGGGGATCTATCCCAAAAATTGGCAGCTTTACCGCTACAGCCATGAGCAATGAAGAGAATTGCTTTGGGGGAGTTGGGTATTTGCCAAATTGCATCAGTTCCATTCATGAACTCCATAGAGGGAGAAAATTGAATGAAAGGGCGAAAACTGTTCCATTTTAGCTTTGGAAAAGCAAACGGGTGGTTAGAATATGGCCTTGTTCTCAAGAGTATAATAAAAGTCGTGACTAGAATAAGGGCAATGCCAAAAATAGCGACCTGGCGTCTTTGTGTTTTGTGCCAAGCAGAACTTGGCCTGTTTGGGTGTCTTGCAAACATCTGTAAATTCATCAAAGAAATGTATGTGGATCTATTGAACACATTCTGATTTACAACCAAAGAAAGGAGTGCAAATAACACAATTTTGAAAGATAATAATTACTCCAAACAGTTCTCAAGAAGAAAAGCAAGGGAATTTGCCCAAATTAAGCAAGACCACTTATTCTTCCACAAAAATCCTGTGTTGGTTCCCTTTCACCATTATGACTAATTGGATAAATAACAAATAACTTTGGTGTTCTATGTTAATAAAAGTGATAAGAATTTCAATGACCACCTTTTCTTTTGTAATCTAAATCAGAAATTAACTTTAGTGCCAGAGTAATGATATACAAAATTAACATATGATTTCAAGGTGGTATAGATTTCTCAAACTTTTCAGAAAGAAAAAGCGTCAATATGCCACAAATTCCTCACATAAAAATGACAAGAACTGCAAAATAGTTATTCCAGATTTCCCTGCCCTTGACTAATGCACTAAAACGATGATAATAAAACTATTACGGAAACTTTCACTGAAAACCCCATTTTCTTTTTCGTTTTTTTCTTCTAAACCCTAATTGATCTCAGAAAATGCCAAAACAAAGGGAAAGATAAACCACAGGGAAAAAAAAAATCAAAAAAAAACATAACTGCATATTCCCATAAAAACCATCACTAAAACACTGAATCTTATCTTTATTCTCTTCATGAAAGAGTATAAATGGTTTCCATCAAGAAAAAGTATTAATTTAAGGCCTTCCTAATCTAAAATCAGATAAAACACGTGATAGATTAGTAATGAAGCTCATATTCAGTAGATATGCTCAAACTAAACACAGGATAGCACTTCTTTTCATTTTTGCCACAGATTTAAACGTGCTGTAGAACTTTTACAGCTAAAATCCCATTATTCACAAAAAAAATATTAAGAATACAAATAAAAGAAAAGATCAAATAAATCTCTAGTTGTACATACCTCAGGAGAATTGGACGTCTAATAAGAAATAAACAGTGCTTCACAGCAAGATTTGATATTGTTTTAGGCGAAGGTTTCCCAAAAAAAGGAAGGAAAAAAAAACTTTTCACCATGAAAAGAAGGGGAAAATTTCGAACTTTTAATGGAAGAGGAAAACGTTAGGAATACAGGAATTAGGGGCTCCTTTCAGTTACAGAGATTATTCAAATTAAAAATTGAATTACTTATTTAATAATTCTTTTTTGTTTTTGTTTAATAATTCTATTTAGTATAAGTAAATGCCATTTGAACGGAAAAAGACCAAAATGGGCACTTGCACAGTAGAAGCACGAGGAACCGTTTTAATGAAAGAAAAAATTTATAGAAGGATGAGGATTCAAACAATCCAATCAAGTCACATTTCAAAATTTCACTAGAAGATGCTTCAATGCTGAAAAACACTCAATTTGATGATCCCGATTTCAAGATATATGGACATAAGAAAAAATAGATTTCAAGTCTTAGAAATGGTACATCTTGTATTATCTAGACCATCATTATTTTAGATTTTCAATTGTTCTGTTTGATCTATATTATTTTTTAATCTTTAAATTTTATCATTAAAAATAAAAATAAATTTCTCGAGCATCTCAAAAATATTTTATACTGAAAGAACATATTTTGGCACTATTTGAAGGTGTATCTTAGTTTGATTGGTTAGAGGCTCAATGTTATAGAAGCCACAGCCTTTAATGAATTGAATTATTTGCAAATACGTTTTGGACTATATTTGGAGGTTATGTGTGGAGAATTTGAAATAAATAGACAATATTACGAAAGAGGGTTGTCAATGGCCCGGGCAGCTCCGCCCCTAAAAAAGTAAGGCCTAGGCCACAATATGGCATGAAGGCTGTGATAGGGCCGGTGCCGGCCATTTTTTGCCAAGCAAGGGTCTTTTTTTATTTTTTATTTATTTTCTTTTTCATTTATGTTTAGCTTAGCTTGATCTAACCCTATGAAGACAAGGACCGGATTTGGGCCAATGCTGGCAATACTGACCAAGCCCATTGCCATTCTTAGGAAAGACCCTGATATTTAAATATGGGTGCAGTTTGTATAGAGCCACTGCTCTAAACAATCAAAGTAAAGTGTACCTTCAAATAGTATCGAGAAATAGGGTTTCAATATTGAAAATCTTTATGATAGGCTTAAAATATATTTTTATTTTTAATTATAAAATTCAAAGCTTAAAAAATAGTGTAGATCGAGCAGATCTATGAAAACTTGAAAATCTTGAAAATTGACTGGCGAAACATGCATTACAAGATGCACTAATCCATTTTTTCTCATATCCATGAATCTTGACGTCAAGATGATCAATTTGAAGATACTTGCATATCAAAACAACCACTTCTAGTGAAATTTTTGAGGTGGACTCTAATTTGATTATTTAGAGCCTTGGCTCTATATAAACTTTTTCCTTTAAATATTTGAATTTGAAAAAAAGTCTGAAAAAATATAATATTTTGTAATTTTGGTTATTATGTTTTTGGAGCAGTTTGCAATTTTGCATATTAGAACCTTTTCAAATTTTAAAAGTAAGGAAGTTTTAAAAAAGTGAAATTATACTGTAGTATTTCTTTTTTCTTTTGGCCTTTCTTTTTGGTTGCTTAGAAAAGCAGTATCCCTCTTTTTTCGATTAATTTAACAGCAATCATGCAATGATTTTGTTTATACTTTTTGAAAAATGACTCTATAGGATCTTCACGCCTCATAGCATGAGACCACAATTTGCAACCGTTAGATCTCAATGAGCTGTCAAGTTAATACCGATGTTATCAAGTGATCCTATCAATCGTAATGCACAAACATCAAAAAAAATCAAAAACCTCTTTGGTTCTAATTCTATCCTCTCTCTTTCTCCCTCTTTGCATCATATGAAGCCCGTTTATTTTTTGCTTTCTTCAACCTTGGCTTGAAGCCAATACTTATCTGTCTTTTTCTTTCTCTCTTTCTAAGTTTTTCATGTGAGTACTTGAAAATCAATCTCTCTTTACCCGAAAATCTCTCTCTAGAGTGCCTAAAATTTTTATATTATTAGATTAATGAGACACCTTTCTCTATGTGATCATTGAGTACCTGAAATCTCTCTTTGACTGCCTGAAAATTAATATTTGGTTCCCCCTCTTGTTTTATACTAGATCTCTCTCTCTCTCTATTTCTCTATTGACTGCCTGTAGATTTTTACACCATTGATTGTGAAATGTCTTTCTATTGAACCAGTGTTTTCCCTTTGAATTTTAAATTATAAAAATATCAAAAATGGCTTATTAGGAAGTGAGGATACCCTTCTTATGCTTTTCGAAAAGTTCATTTTCTTTGCCTTTCATCGGAATTCAATAGCTCATAATGACCCAATACCCATGAAGTAACAATTAAGAGAAGTAAGACAATCCCAACACGGAGCAAATGCAAGAAAGAGGAGGAAGCCGAGTGGCTAACCAACAGAGCAACAAGCTGAAATAAGCTCAGATATCTACCTCTCTTCTCTTGTAGCCACTAGATTTCTCTCTTCCATCGTTTGTCTCTCCATTTCCTAACTTCCTCGCCCTACCTCCTCTCTTTTAATGCATCTCTCTGTTGTTTTTTAATTTTTTCCCTGCCCCTACTCTCTCCTTCTTTGTCTCCTTTTCTCTCCTTATTCATCGTGCACACGGCCCTTTTTTACCACTCCTCTCTCTACTACTGCAAATTGATTTTTCTTGTTTCTCTCTCTAAAATGGCACTTTTTTTGGTAGCACAAATAGAAAAAAAATGCTAGACGTTGGAAGAAAGATGTGAACTTGGGAGAAGAGAAATAGGAACAATTAGTGAGAGAGAGAATGATACTGAGTAAGTGAGAAGAAGCGGCATGCAAGGAGAAGTTTGAGTGAGAAATGAGGGGTTGTGGCACATGGAGAGATAGGGGTAGAGCAACGACGGTGATAGAGAGAGAGCAAAAGAAAGATGGCAAGTGGAGGGAGTGAAAGAGCTTATGGATTTGGGATATTAAATGCCTTTTTCACTTAGAGTGCGTGCTTAGAGTTTTATTTCTTGGAGTGTGCTTCACCTAGTAACCAGGTATCATCTCAGTTGTTTAGGAGCCCATCATATCCAATGACTCAGGTTTGGGGTCTCATGCGCTCTGAGTTTGGGAGGGTCTCACAAGATCATTACTCATACTTTTTTTAGTGGCAATTTTGCAAATGTTTGTGAACCATATTTAGTGTGTCAAGTGGCAAATTCAACGTGTCCGACCAACATAAAAAAATGAGAAAAGGTCAAGACGTTTTTAAGGGCACTTAGTATTGTAGCGAGGCCATGCTAACCATGACCGTAAATCTGCCCTAGGTCTTTAGAAATATCCTTGAATCAAGATAGAATGTTCTTAAAGTAGGTCTGCTCTAGCCCTCTTCGGGCCGTTAGACTGCATACAATCAAAGAAAAAAAAAGGAAAAAGGGCCATGCTAGCTCGAACTATGCTGGCTTTGTCGAGGTGCTTGTTCAAGCCCAGCCCTCGGTAGACATACAGATCATGAATGTTTGGAATCCATATTATGCAATGAGATATTGCTTTCGCTAATTCTAATTGAGGGATGATATCAAACCGGTCCATTTTCGGCATTATATACACAGTTAGCACATTCGTCATAATTAGCGCTGCACTCATGATACATTTCGTGACTTAGGTTCTAGGCTTTTTAATGTTGGGTTGACCGGCCTGAGCTAGGCTAGGCCCAGCCGCCTAACCCATTGCTAACCCTATTTTATGCAACTGGAGGGTGCCATATAAGCTTAGCTCCATGACATGTGATATACAATCTTATGTACCACGATATTCACTTGGATACAAGTTAATATCCACATTCCACCACCGGAAAAGCCATTGGATACAGGATGTTCCTGTGCTAGACACCTTTGGCGTACGGTAGATTTACCTTTTCAAAATAAAGATCTCTTCTCAAAATAGAATAGTCTTGTTGGAAGTTAAATAAAAACTTTAATCTCTTTATTTTCAAGCATGAAGAATTCACAATTGCAAGACAATATTTGCTTTTTACTAATATAAATCAGTTTTCATTTAAGTTCTTCAGGTAAATTTTTTCTTGAGATACAAGAAAGCAGATAATTGAATATTTAAAAGAAACAAATGATTGCAAAAATTATCTCGTTAATATAAATACACAAATATTGCGAGATCTAGAGTACCTAAATCTCTTTTTTTTTTTCAAAGAAAAAAGTTCACAAAAAAATAAATACTTTTATTCCAAAAGAGGAAAATAAGTCCTTATTTATTATGAAAAAATGCCTTTTCAACCACTCCGCATGATTTTTGGAGCACACATTAGGTGAAGAGTTGTGACTATTCAAATATCAACCGTCAAAATGGTACACCTCTACATACAGCACAATAGTACAAATAAGACAACACACTTTCCAAAACACTATAGTAGAAAAGAGATATTATTTTAAAATAACTTTTTTTCATTCAAATATTTTTACTTGAATTATGCTTGGCGCAAGAGCTACTTTATTGAGGTTTACAAATTTAAACCATTTGTCGGAAAAAATTGTTCACTTTCTAATTAGGGAAGTTTAAAGTTCAATAAAGCACTTGCATTTTAAAAATAAGTCGTCTTACAAGGGTAGATTGGTCAATTATGGTTGATTAGGCATAATTCGTCGTTTTCAACTGCAAAGGGGGCTAATTACGTTCGCAGATGTAACTGGAAGGCCGAGGGAACCGAATTGGTTGGAATACAAATTAAAATAATTTGGTCACATTTTCACTTGCAACGACTTTTGGAAAGTCGATAACTTAGAGGAAAATAACTACCCATTTTTCTCTCTCGTTGCGTCAGATTTTACCATCTTTCCTTTGTTTCTTTGTGGGGTAGGTTGGCTAGGACTCCGTAAAACTAGTAATAAACTTTGGCCCACGGATTGGGCACATGTCTCGAAGGCTAGGGTCTCAACGAGCATCACCACCTTATGTGATGATTCTCACTAACCTGCCTTATTTTTTTCTTTTCTTTTCTTCATATATATATGTATATTGTATACATTTTCTATATGCAAGGGGATGGTTTCGTTAAAAAAAAAGGTTCCAGGTTTAAATTCCAACCCTTGAAGTTTTGTTTGAAGTTCAATTTTTTTATCGAACATGAAACTTGAACAGTATTAAGAAGTTCTAAACTTCTAGGAAGACACTTTCTGTTATCAAACACGCCCTTATGATTGGAAACATGCGAGGTCTGCCTTGGACCTAGGCTAGGCAGCCCGAGCCGAACCAGG